CCTCCTTTTAATACTCGCACATTTCGGATTATAGGGCTTAGTGATGGAGAGAGGATCTCAACAGCCTTGTGCTTACCTGATGAGCTTTCCAGGGAAACTGCCCCGTGAAATGCTCCCCTCTTGTGACAACAAGCCTGAACAACCAAATGCAGCTACATTCGGGTGGTTAGCACCACTTTCATTTGGAATTTTTAGGGAGGTATGTTCCAATAACTTCAAGGGATACTGTGTTTTAAACGTGTGGTTTCTTTCCTCTCTCCATATAAAACTGGACCTGAACACAAGTTTTGAGTTGTTGGGGGTTTTTTTGTAATAATCTCAGGACCTGAAAGATTGTAGCATTTAGTGTGTCTTAAAAATGATGTACTGTACCAGCCATGGATTTTGTAAATAACACCTGTCTCCCTTTTTTGTATTTTAATTTTTTAAAAGTGTGTAAGGCTCTTTGCCAGAGGAACTGGTGCCTGCTTTATCTCCATCGTGAACTGAGGCAGGAAAAGGAAGAAGCTGCTGCCACAAAAGCCTGCGTCAGTTCCAAATACGTATATTGTTCTGGTCAGTTTAATGGCTGTTAGTCTTTTGTTAGTTGGGAAGCTGGTTTGTTCCCCTGCACGTTTCCAGTTGTGGGTAGCAGAGCCCTATCAGGGAGGCTAATTTTAACTCTCTTCTGTGTGACTACTTGATGTTTTCACTCCTTCCAGGTACTCAGGTTTGCTATCCCTGAGCAGTCCAATGCTTTCAGAGGTCAGGACTATTGCCCCTCTGCAAAAATAACTGGAGAGCATTTCATTTTATCAGTGCTTTGATCCAAACACAGTAATGGGGTTTGTATCCTGCACCTTGCAGGTAATGCTGCCTTCACCTGTTCCGGAAGGGACTTGCCCTTTTCTGCTTTCCTGAAAGGAGCGCAAAGCTTTTTTTTTGGCAGCAGACTTTGCTCTGGGATCCACCCTTGCCGGCAGACCCCTGTTCTGCAGTAGGAGCCTTACTCAATTCGGCATAGCTGTTCCCTGTCCCTGACCGCGACAGGCTTTTTCATGAGTGTACTTTTCTTTTTTTATGTGTCCCGTGTCTGTGCTGTATTAAATAAAGAGGAATGTACATATTAGTCCTGTCTCTGTGATTTCTCACAAAAATAAAGATGTAAAAAGGTTTCACTTGAAGGGTCCTCCCTTGGGGCTTTTTCGTAGGGCTTTTCCGTTATGGGGAGGGGGCGAGGAACAGCGGTTTGAAGCTCCAGCGGGTCGGTACCACAGACTGCGCTGCCCCTGCGGGGCGCGTTGTGATGAGGCGCCGTAGCCCCGCCCCAGCTCCCAGGGGGCCGCGCGGCAGCCGCGTGGGGCGGCGCTGCCCAGTCAGCGGCTTCTGATGTGTTCCATAAAAGGCAAAGGGGGCGGGGACAGGAGACAAGTAGACGCGCGGAAAGGCTTTTCCCGCGGCAGCCCCAGTGGCCTAATGGATAAGGCATTGGCCTCCTAAGCCAGGGATTGTGGGTTCGAGTCCCATCTGGGGTGGGCGTTTTTTTCTTCCTCAAGCCTCGCCGTTTCTCCGGGTGCCCGCGAGCCGCCAGCTGCCGCGGGTGTGCGGCTCCTGGACTTCTTACTGGCCGTCCTCTGCTGGCCCTAGCGAGACGTGCAGACCCTTTTAATCCGGAGACCCCAAAAACTCGCGCGAGGCGCGGCTGCGGACCAACTCGACTTCCCGCAGCGGGATGGGTCCCTCGGGTGTCTCACGGTGACCCCGCTCCGGTACCACAGGCCGGCGGCGGGCCGCTCAACCCCCTGCCCAGCGCGAGGGGGGTGCGGGCACGGACCGTCCCGGCCGCCCGACCACCGGCACTCGACCTGCGCTGGTTGCCATGGCGGCCGGGGGGGGGCGCGAGGAGGCGATCGTTCGCTCGGCTCTCGGCAGCGCGCACTGTCAGGGCGCGAGGGCGAGGTCGCGGAGCCAGGCGGCGGCGCCCGATTGGCCGGCGGGCGGGCGCGCGAGCGGGGCGGAAGATGGCGGCGCTGGGCACCCCCCTGCGCACGCTGCGCGCGCTCCTGCGCGAGCTCCGCCACGCCGCCGGCCGCCACTATCGCGACAGCCCCGCCTATCGCCACGTGCTCGCGGCCTTCCGCGCGCACCGGGTACGCGCAGGTCCCCTCTCCCTCCCTCCTACCCACCCACCCCTGCCCGAGCAGCCCCGGGGCTCGGCGAGGCCTCTGGGCCACCCTGACCACCGCTCCCCGCAGGTGACCAGCGAGAAGCTGTGCCGGGCCCAGCAGGAGCTGCACTTCCAGGCCGCTACCTACCTGTGCCTGCTCCGCAGTGTCCGCGAGCACGAGGCCCTGCACCGCGAGTACCACGGCAAGGGCGAGCGCTCGCCCGAGGAGGTCGCCGGGCTGGTGGGCTTCAGGCTGCCCCAGCAGCCGGGGGGGAAAGGCTGACATGGGTCTGCTGTGTAAACTCATTATTCCTCAATAAATATCCTACTGCTACCGGAACGGGCTGCGTTCTCCAGCAGGGTTTTTTCCTCAGTTTAGGTTATGGTGTGAAAGAGCCATAACTGGGAACCCCTCTCTCCTTTTATCAGGCTTCCCAGACCCCTCGTCCATCTGAGCTTGTGGTATGATGGGCAGCCTGCACGGGGTGACAGGTGGTTTTTAGTGGAAAAACATGAAAGCCTTCACTGCTGAACTGCTTGTCTGAGGGGTTGCAAGGTTTCGTGGTTCCCCCCTCAAAAACAGTAGGTAAGTGAATTTGCCTAGTGTTTACTGTAGCATTTTCCAGGCACATTCTCTGTGTGTGTAATTTCCTACTCTCCCAAGAACAAGGCCCTTCTGTGGGACATAAGTGGATTCTGGTGAGCACTGCAGTAGCACAAACGTCTGTCTTTATTTTTTTCCACGGCGGTGAGCAAGCGCTGGCGATTCACAGAGGTGGTTTCTTCTTGATGAATTATGTGTTTCTCAGTGTCCCCAAGAAGTCCTTCATGTGGCTTCCAACCTCCTGTGCTGCCCTCGCACACTGCAAGTCTCAGAAAAGCTGAGGGGAACTGGCCACTTCCAGTCGCACCAGGGACATACGTGGCACTGCCTTTTCTTATTTGTCTTGCAATCTGAAACGGCAAGTTTCTTTTTGGAAAAAGGGGCTCGAATTGTTGCTGTTCTTCTCTCAGAAGAGTGTTGAATTGTATGTAAGATATGTTAGAAATCTGTAACAAGCGTGACCTAAAGTGGCAAAAAATGTGAGATTTGTTTACATGGGGAGGAGCTTTAAGCAAGGCTAACAAAACTATTGATTTTTTTTTACTGCCAGGGAAAACAAAGTATTCTGTCAGAAAAGCATTGCAAATAGAATGATAAGATGGTTTAATCCCCACAGTACAGCGCATAGACAATAGATCCTTAAAACTGAGGAGATTTGGGCTACTGAGGTAAGGTAAGGAGGTGGGAACTACAGGTTTTAGGGTTCTGTAGACCAGATTCCAGTTGCAAGTCTTACAGTGTCTCACAAGTTAAACAGCAGTGGGTTTTTTGAAAAACATTGATATCACAGGTGGGAAAGTACCAACCTATTTTCAGCATAGTAGATCTAAGTTATGAGATGTCACCACACCCTGAGAATAGCTGTGTCATACTGGTTGTTCTGAATTATTTCATTTAGCTGCTGCGTTCATGCAATTTACTTTTCCAAGGGACTAAAGGTTTACTCCATCCAAAGTCTGTAGTATACTGCTCCAGAAGGGAAAAAAAAAAAAAGGCTCACTGAAATCACTTCTGGAAGAAATGCTGAAACTTGGCCAGACATAGGTGCTCTTTAAAGAGTACCTAAAGAATGTATGGTGTGGGTAGGAATAATAGCTAAAGCTTCTCAATTTCCCCTAAGCATATTAAGGTATTAAAAAGGAGAACATTTTAACCACTATTGGTATCTCTTCCATTTACTTCACCTTCAATCCAAAGAAATGACCAACAAAAGTAAATTTATATTTTAAAGAAAAAGCAATGCCAGGACATGTTCTAAATAGCTGAGGGGCACCGGGTAGAGAATCTTTCCCTGGACATGTGATAGAAGAGCACTTCATCTTCTCTGCAAGTCCTTGTGAAATACACGTAATTGGGCGGGTGGTTTGTGTTGCCTTTTCTCACTCGTACTGAGGTAATTTCAAAAGCTGAACGGGACCGCGCTGGTGGACGATTAGAATTGATATCCATGACGGGTCCTGGGCACTAGATGGCAACACCACGGTTGACAAAGGGAGAGTCACAAAGTGCAGGCGTTGGAACGGAGAACGTGAATCCAATTTTGAAATTGGATCTCAGCGCCTCGCAAGCTGAATTTGCTGCCGCACGTGGCGAAGCTTCAGTTTTAAGGGAGGTTCTCCAAGAAGCGGGGTATTACAGTAACTTTCATCACCACAACCGCACCCGGCAGCTTGAACGAAGCACGGGGCGACTGCAGTGGTGCTGGACACGAGTCCAGTAGGGAGCTGTCTCCAAACGAGACCGTCCCCAAGGAGCTCCCAGACGCCCCGCCCCGCCCGCCGCCGCTGACCCAGAGACCATGACGTCACAGCAGCCACGCGGGCCCCCCTGGCCAATCAGCGCGCCCCAGAGGCCCAGCCCGGCGGCCCAATCAGGCGCCTCGCCACGCGGTGCGTCACCGGCCGAGCACCGCGGGCCGTGGCCAATGGGAGGGCGCCGCGGCCCGTCCGCGCTGACGTCGCCGAGCGGACGGAGAGACGTAGAGCGCCTGCGCGTGGGTTTCCGTTCCCGCCGGCGCGCGCGCGTGGCGGGCGCGGGAGGGAGCGCGCGGAGGGGGCGCGTGCAGGGGCGCGAGGCGGCGGCAGCGGCGGCACCGGGCCCGGCGCGAGGCGGGATTCCCGCTCCGCCTCCCCCTGGGAGCGCCAGGCGGAGGCAGCGACCGCTCCTCTCCCTCCCCCCGCGGCGGCGGGGGAGCGGCCCCGCCCGGGCCCGCCCGTGACGCGAGGGGCAGGGCCGAGCGCCCGCCGCGCCTCGGGCCTTGCAGGCCGCTGTCGGCGTGACTCGGCCGGGCTGCGCCGGCCGTCCCCGCGCTCAGGATGTCGGCGCAGGCCCAGATGCGCGCCATGCTGGACCAGCTCATGGGCACGTCCCGGGACGGTAAGTGCCCCCGGCCGCGGCGGGGCGGGCAGGAGGGGGCGGAGCCGCCGCAGCCCCGGAGGTCACGGCGGCTCCGGGCGGGCCGGGCGGCGCTCGCCGTGATTGGCAGGCCCGGGGCCCGTTCCCCGCTTCCCCCGCGGGGCGGGGCCGTCGGTCACCGGCGGGTGGGGGGGCTGGGCACCGCCTCCCCCAGCGGAGCTGTCGGCGCCGGGCGCTGCCGTTCCCGGTGCTGTCGGAGGGAGATGCGCTGCCGGCGGTGCCCGCAGCCCTCCCGCGCCGTCCCGTGGAGGGACACGGCGGCTGCGACATTTTGCTCGTGGGGAGGGGGGACACAGCGAGCTAGAAAATCCCTCGTAAGCCAACAGCCCCTTCCATAGAGCAGGGTGGGTTTTTGTGTTATTGTAGTTTTTGTGTAAATTCCGACCCAAGCCATCGTGTCAGTTAGCAGGCGGGTACGGCTGTTGCTTTCTGAAAGGCAAAATGGGGTTGACCCAAGTGGACAAGGTCTTGTCAAATCAAGCCCCAAACGGCTAACTAGAAGCTTAACATCTGGAGGCAGTAATTCCCTGAGGGAGATATTAGATGTACGGTCGGGTTTCAGATCGCTCTGTGGTCGCGCAGTGAACTGAAGATTATTGCTGTGTAAAGCTGCTCACAGTTTTTGTCAGGGCGCGTGGCGATGAACTCGAAAGTTTGAACCGGCACTTGACCGTAAATCCACATAACTGGGGTGCTGTTGGGAAAGAGCAGTTCCTGTTACGCTGTGCAGTTCTTATAAGCAAAAGAATACTGCACCCGAGGGTAGGCAGCAATTAGAGATGATTTCAGTGTTCTGCATGTCGTACTCGCTCTTGCAGATGTGTTACATGTTTGTTGAAGCTTCGTGCGGAATTAATGGTTGCCTGTTTCCCTGTGCACCGATTAGGATGTAGGAAGTGGGATGTATCTCGTATGTGCCAATCATCTCTTGGTACTGGGCTAATGTGATGTGACAGCTTTTTTAGTATAATATAGAATTTTAAATGGATGTAACTAGTTTTCACATACCCCATATACTATGAATGCTTTCCGCTAAGTTCTAATCTTTGTTCTGCAAAGATTGCCTTCCAGAGTAAGGCTGGTTAGTGAGTGGTCATCGTGCAGGATCTAATTTAGGGTGGTTTTGTCTTGCTCCAGAAGATTTTCCAATACTTCCTGTTGTGGCTGCGCGTGTCTAAGTGCTTGGCAAAGTAACATTTTGCTTATGAAACTCGAGTCTTCCCAGTGTTGGCACCTAGATCGCTGTCTCAGAGCTGCCTGAGACTACACAGAAAGTTTAAGGGGGATGGGGGAGCTGTTGCAGTTTCTGAAAGTATTTTCTGTTGGGCGGTGGGAGAAGAGTGTGATTTACCTGTGGCAGCTCAAAAATGCTGAGTGACTAACATCTAAACCAGAAAAAGTCACTAGGTTTTTTTTTAGCTTTGTGAGAAAGCAGTTAGTTTATTGATGCTTGTATTCCCCCCTCCCCCCCACCCTGTAATTCCTAAACCGCATGTGCTGAACTGTTTAGAAACTAACTGGCTAGAGAGGAGGCATTTAAACAGAATTGGCAGGATGAGGAAGGATAAGAAGAAAACATCATTTGCAAAACTGGCTTCCATTATTGGATTCAGGATCTCTATGGAACACCACTCCAGTTTAAAGAAAAAATGAAAAATCCAGTGGAGTATTATTTAAAACTGGAGTGTGCATAGGGATTGAAAATATGCCTTTTTTGCAGAACTGGTACTTACTAAATTCAAGGCCAGGCTCAAGGTCATTGAAATGTTGCTAACCTTGAGAGTAGTGGGATTTGGGGTCGTTAGGGTTTTTTTATGTTTCTATTACCTTTGACAAATATTCGGTTTCTAGTAATATGCAAATTGCAGCTTTTCATGAGAATGTGGCAATTTTTTAAATTCCTGGTAGAAGATAGCTCTCATTTCACCACTTGTCCCCATTGCCTTTGGTTTTGCTCTGCCTGGCAGCACAATGGAGTTTAAAATGTTTTTTAAAAAATACTCTTTCTTGGGCAATGTTTGTGTTGTATATTGTTAAAAATTACTGAAGTGCTTTTTAATTTTATACTTTACACAGTCTGGTGGGGTTTTTTGTTTTGTTTTGGGTGGATTGTGTTCTTTGGGTTTGAGGGTGTTTTGGTTTTTTGTTGTTGGGTTTTTTTGGGTTTTTTGGGGTTTTTTTTTGAGGAACCTAGAATATGCAAGTTTAAACCTATTTTAGAAAAGGTAGATCTAACATTTGATCTCTTCAGTGGGAATAGAAAAAACTCAGAGGTAAATGAGGTAAACTCAAAACCAATGGTGATGCCTGAATATTTGTCTTTTTTATTTATTTTTTTTTTTAGCTTATAGTATCGTTTATAGAGAACAGGAATGTGCTCTGAAAATGGTTTTGAAAATTCCACAATGAGATGCTCAGACATGGTTTTAGGAGATGAACTGTAGGCTGTAATTTGTGGAAGTATGTGCACACTCATTATAAATGGTGTCCCTAGGGCCAGAATGGAGAAGCTTGGAGGATGTAGTTATTAAATGTTTATGGATTTGCTGTTAAGCTCTGAGAACACCTAGAAAGCACAGCTCCACATTGGTCAAATTGATTCAGAAAATACCCACTGAGCCGTAAGAATATTTATGGAAAACAAACTGTGTTAGACAGGAGTCTTCTCACGTCAGACAGAGCTGCCAGACACGTGGCCGACTAGAACCAGGTATGCAGCTTCAGGCCTGCCCCTTGCTGGGCCCTTTCCCAGAGGGCCCTATGCTCGTGGACAGGGAGAACTGGGAGCCTCCTGACTTCCTTTGGCAACCTGCTTCCTCCCTTGCCTGAGTTTTGGCAGTAGGATGGATGCACTTGTGGTCACACGGCATCACTGGTGGTACCTGCCAGGATGTGAGGTTCTGGCATAGCCTCTTGGCAGCTGCCTGGGCCAGTGCCCTGGTGCTCCCTGCCTGCCTTTGCTCATGTGACAGACACCTGACAGAGTGAACCTGAAGGCACTTGGCAGGTGCTCCTCAGCAGTTTCCAGTGAGTTGCAGTTCTTAGAATATGTCTGGGTTATCTAAAAAGCAGTTGTATTGTTAATGTCAATACAATGAAATAATTCTGTAAATGGTTCTCTTACACACCCGAAAAAAGCACATTTAAAAAGAAGCTGGCTTTTTTTAATACATTAAATATACCCAAGTTAAACTTCTTTTGCATGCTTCTCTGACAAGAAGTGGAAAACTGAATTGAATGTGGACCATGACAGAATTAAAAAAAATTGAAAGTGCCTTAGATTTTGATGTGAGTAAAAGCCTGGGCTCATTTACATTTAATATACTTATGACTACGGGTTAAAAGAAATCTTCTCTGAAATGTCATTTCAAGCACTGATAACCAGGCATACTTAGAGAGGCTTAAATATAAATTACTGAAGATACAACGTGGGGTTCCCAAACACTGAGAAATAGGAAGTGTTGAAGATCAGGTGCTAATCTTATGTATCAACATATGAATATTTTCTTCATGTTTTTTTTTCTTGTTAGCAGTTAAACTAAAGGAGTTTTTATTACATTTTTTTAATAGTATTACATTATAGTATTACATTTTTTTTATAGTATGCTTAGATAAACCCTGTTTTTGCCATCCCTGTTCTCCAGAAAACAGAAGTGAACCTTACAGATAGAATCATAACTGTAAATCAAGTCATTTACAAATTGAGTGAAATGTTAACAATTGATGTTAGTCCCCCAGGGTTTGGGGGGTTTTATTGTGTTTTTTTTCTTCAGAATATAGTTGAAATGGGCAAAGATTGACAAGTTTTCTTTAAAGGCCTGATTGAAAAGATGCAGTTTTATCTTAAATCAGCTTATCTGGCCCAACTAGTTCATTTTCCTGCAGGTCAGTTATGTGCTCTGCCTTGCTACAGGAGTGAGTGCCCGAGTCAGCATGAGGAATTGGTTAGAAACAGGGGGTGAAGCAGGATCATTGCTTCTGACAGTAGTGCAGACACAGCAGATCCAAATGGCCCTGGTGCCACACATCTTGAAACTGCTAAGACTTGACTGTTGCAAAGAAATGTGGTGGTTTGGGTTTTCTAAAATAATTGCCGCTACTTCAAAATTAGTGTATAGTTTAGGGATATGTAAAGCTAACAAAGTTAATTGGATTCTTGTAAGGACAGGTGAATTTGTGCATGCTTCTGAGATGTAGATGTGCTCATGAAAACGTTCTCCCAAGCATCCTAACAAATATTATGCTATGTGACTAGCAGAAAAATCTCTGCAGCCTTTAGGTATACAGAACTCATATGTATGAAGTGCCAGTCAGCACCTCTTTGGCTTCACCTGCTAGCTTTTTGAGCTGAGCTGCTGTGTTCAAAGTCTTTGGTTCTTCAGCTGTTACTAGCAAAGCACTTTTCTTGTTGTAGATCATCTTCTTCTCACTTTGAAACTTACAATATTCTATTTACATCTATTCACATCCTAACCATTTTTTTCTGTTTTATACATCAGTTATCCTTAGCAGTGGTTACTAGTGTGTGACTTTTCTGTCCTCATTGTTTGGGAGGAGCTGAAGTGATGCTCCTGCACTAATTTTAGCCATCTTGTGTTTGGTGGCACACTTTATGTGGTAACAGAGGTGTAATCCAGAGCATGTAACCCATTTTTTGATTTCTTTGTTTCTGTATGAGATTACTGAAGAGTCTCTATGTGCTTAATGATGCATATTGGGTTGATGTTGGTATTTTCAGGGTAGATAGATTTTGGTTTTCCACTTTGCGTTACACGTGGCGGTGGAAGGATGAGAGCTCGGCTTTCAAATATGGAGCAGTAATGGCAGAGAAAAGTATTTCATATACAGGAATTTCTGCAAAACCTGCCCCAGATGTTGAATTGGTATCAGCGCAGAAATCCGAAAGTAGTCGCAACACATAAACTTCATGAAAAGATACTTTGTCAATCAGGAGCTATCAGAAGGTTTTAAGAGCAACGATCATGTTTAGCGAATTGTTTGTTGTTGCTAGCTTTGTTACAAAGTTCTGGTAGTTTAGCCTTTGAAAATGAGGGGAACAGTAAAGAACTTGAGGAATTTTTCTACTCTCTCTCTTTGGGACACCTTATGAAATGGTGTTTGTGATGAAGCAAATAGGCATGTTCATTCATATATTAGTTCCACTTGTAACGCATTAGCTAAAAAATTATTTCATTATATTCTGCATTCACAAGTGTTACTTCAGTCATGGTGTAAAGCAGAAGCAGTCCTACTTAAAAATATGTATTATTCTAAAGGTGTTATGGTAAAAATGCATCCAGTGTTAGTGACAAAAATATAAGAATTAGCTGCCCATTCAGTGTGCAGCAGGAACAGGATCTTCTGTGACTGCTTAAGCTTCGCTTAAATAATGATGAATATTTGCTATAGAGGGCTTGCTTTGCGAATGAAATTTGATACACAGTTTTTAACCAGATACTCCACCCAGTTGGTAGCTCTTCTTGAATAAAGCTTTCAGAGTCCCTGGCCAGTATGTTGGGACTCGTGCTTCAAAAATTTGAGTGGAAAGTTAACAATTTTTTGTTGATGTAGCTTAATGCAGGAAGTCAACAGCATGAAAATTCAAATGCTCATTGTTTCCTTTTCATGGATTGCACCATTAGTTTACAATTAGAGGTTACAGTTGGATTATAAAGGGTAATTCTCATCTGTGCACTGGGATTGTTGATAGTAGTGTATTAGGGTACATCAGAATAGTAAGAGATGATGGATCAAAGAAGTCATTGATATGAGCACGTTATAATGCTAAGCATTGTTGATGCCTGAGTGTTCATTCTGATGACTTGTGACTAAAATGTACTGAACAGGAATGACATTGTGGAGGCTTGTTTATAGGTTAGAATTGGGAGTTCAAAATGAACTGTATAGTACAAGTGCACATTGTGATCTTAACCTCTGGATGTTCCTTAATCAGCAGTATGCATTAGTCTTGAATATTGATGTGAATTTTGCAGTCAGCATGTTTCATACAAAATAGAAAACTTCCATTAGAAAGTTTACGTTACTGCCATAATGTCTTTAATATTTGTGTCTCTAGTGTGCAGATTCCTTATGCTTATAAAGGATAGGACATGTGCAAGTGTCAAAGTTCCCTTAACGTTTTGCTTTTTTGCTTGAATGGTTTCAATTCTGTTTCAAAGTTTTCCGTTCACCTGGAAACTAATCTCTTATAGAATGTGGTTTGGGACAGGTATGTTAAGTAAACTAAAGATTTTACTGCTTGAGGAAAATTTAATTTATATTTTTTCCATATAAATTTTATCAACCTTTTTCTTTTTAATGGAGAAAATTTAATTGGAAACACAGGGATGGCTTAATAGATGTTGACTCCTGTAATACCCTGGTAAATTACTTTGATTTCTTTAATGCGCATGAGTCCTAAAGATCAATAGTTGGATACTCTGCTCTTTTTCAGAGGCAGGGTTAAATAAGTTGCTATTCTGAGCTAATTTAATTATTTACCTATTAAAATACAACTTGCAATAAGGTCTGAAATATCAGTGTCCTCTTTACAAATGTTTAAGAATACTTCTAAAATTTAGATGATGCAGCTGCTTAGTGTTTTAGATGTATTACTTTCTTATTACAGGATATATAAAGCCTTTTTTTTCTAAACACTCATAAGCATTATTTAGCATTCTCTTGTTTCTTTGACCATACAAAGAGGGTATCAACCTATGTACAGTTTGACAAGGAGAAATAGTGTCTTGGTTATCAATGTACTGTGGAAGTTCTTGGCTTAAGAACACATCTGTTCATGTTGTTTTAATTCTTAGAAGGCATCTGCATAAGTTTTATTTGCTGTAGGCAGAATGTCAGGTGCATAGTGGATCCATAGATTTTATTCTGCCCTCCCCCCAGCAACTCATGTAGACCTCAGGTCATCACCTACTCAAGATGATTCATCTGTGGGTCAGCAGCAGAATGCATCTTCTGTCTTTGCCAACAGGTGTGCACTATTCAGGAGTACTGGAGCTCACAAAATTCGTTAATAAGTAAGAGCATTTTCTTCTGAGGCTGTCAGACTTGCGAATGAGCTGCCAGAGGGACACAAAATTCAGTCATTGTTAGGACGTGGCATATGACACCTTTTTGATAAGTTTTTCCTTCTGAAACAATATAGATTAAAAAGAAATGGTGAGGTATGAAACTGTTTTTCAGAGGAAGGAAGAGGTAAACACCCAAATGATCTGTGTATGGAAGCCTTCCTGAAAGTCCCTTAAATACTATACCAAAGGCACAGTGCAGAAAGAACAAAGGTTTAAAACGTAAATGTATAAAGTGTTCTCGAGGCTGTTGTTGACTAGTTTCTGCCAGCTCTTTCTCCCTCCCCCCCATGCTGTCTGACCTCGGTTTGGTAATTGTGATTGTCATGCTAGCCACTTTGGTGGAAAAAGATTATATTTCAGCTGTAGCATCAATACCTAGTTGTGGTAGAGGTGTGAAAAAAAGCTATGACCAGATGTTGAGGTAATGTCTGTGAAAATACTGCTTGCCAACTTTACATGAAGAACCACCATTTTCCAGCAATTTTCTGGTCTCGATAACTCCTTGACTTCTGTTAGGTTAGTGCTTTTAGGCTGCCAGATGTGGGGGTTTTTAAATACTTTTCTTTATTTTGTTCATGTGTCTTTATATAGAAGAATCTTTACAGTCAACATGTATTTCTAGATGCTGTGTTAAAATTGCTGGCAGAGTCTATTATTCTATACAAACTGAACAATCTGGCCCCTTGTTTTATTTATAAAGGTTCAATGTATCTTTGCCTGCCTACATCAATCTGCAAGGGAGTGTCAGAAAGGCCCCGCATTCGCCGAGCCGTGAGTTATCAATAACTTTTCAGATGTGTTAATGAATGTGGAACAAACGCAGTTATGTGTTTAAAAAAAATACGGATCCACCTCCTAAAAAGCAAAAAAAAAAAAAAAGAAAAAGAAGAGCAAAACTCTTTACTGCAGTAGCAGGCATGATTATAAAGGGATTACTCTAAATTTTTAGTAGTGTAAGTATAACTAAGCAGTAAGGTTGTCCTCTAGAAAACCTATTGTTGAACTGCTTTGAAGCTCTTTGGTGTGTGGGTTACAGGTCTTAACTGTTGTATCCCGCAGGCAAATTAAGCATGTGTTGTTTATGGAAACTTTTGTTTACTTAAGAATCTGAAACGTGGCCCATCTGAAAATGTTATATATTAGTATCCTATGCATAGAACTGATATTTAAAAATCTGATTACATAATGGTAAGAAAGGCTTGTAATCTGTAAAGATATGGGTTTGTTATTCCCTTCTGTTATAGTTACCTCAGTAATGAATTTGGCTTCTTGAATTGTTTAATAGATTCAAAAGTCTTAGAGTTTCAAATCATGAAGCCTTAAAAAAACTTTAATAATTGCAAAATATATCTACACTCTTTAAATTATTTAATGAAATGGAAGAGGCTGCTATCTGAACTCATCGTATGTCGTGGTTTTTTCCCAGCAGCCATCCTTGCTTCAGTAATTCACCAGTAGGTTTTCAATGATTAGAAATCTTAACAAGTTGTTATGTTTAAAAAAATAACTGGCTACATCCTGAGCAAGATTAAGGTGTTTTATCATGCCTGTGTCTTAACAAGAAGAGAGCCATTGCTGTGATCTCTCTTCTGAATTCCAAACAGTGATAATTATGTTATGACTCAAAGGGAAACATATGCCCTCATCCCCAGAATACCAACTGGTTACTTTGTTCGGAAGACTTCAGGTCTTGCTCCAAGAAGGGGTTATTTAACCTTGCAATTGGACCTCAGTATCTGGGCAGGTTGATGTTTCTGCTGATGCAGGAACTACAACCTACCACAATGAAGATCTAATTAAGATGTTCCAGCCCAACAAGCAGCATGTAGAAGAGAAAAGGAAAAAAAAAAAGGTTTATCATATGGAGATATGCAAACACCTGTAAGATATTTTGCATATAGGCTATGCCCGTATATTTGACTGATTTTCTTTTCAGGTTTGTAAGCATTTAAAATCATTCTTCTGCCAACTCTTTATGCTATTCCCATCAGAAGTAAGAGGGTGCAAAATCATAAAATAAGTATCAGGTGGGATTTGGTGAAGACTCAATGTGTATCATTTTGTGTTTATGAGGCTGCTTTTATATGCTAATTCTTGCATACAAATACATCACTATTTCATGCAAAATCTGAATAGAACATTATATAGCTCATTTAACAAATGCTGTTGTATCAAAGTGTTTTTAAGCTAATACTGACTTTCTGGTTTCAAGCACTTTTCCTACCGCATTTTTGAAGGGGAAATGTGAGAGGTTTTTTTAAATAGCATTATAGAGCACTAAAACACACATTTGTGTTTTTTGTGTTATTTGGCAAAGAAGCACAGAGTGTTTTAAGTTCTAGTTTCCATAGACGTTCACTATGTGACAGGGCCCTGTTAACACTTTGCATGTAACCTGGAGAACATGTTTGACTTCCTCAGTTTTCTAACCTGGAATGTGCTGATTTCTATATTGCAGGTGACACGACCCGTCAGCGAATCAAATTCAGTGATGACAGAGTGTGCAAGAGCCACCTTCTCAACTGCTGCCCTCATGATGTGCTCTCTGGAACTGTATGTAGCTAAATCTCATGTTTTATTTAGATAGAATGGAGAAATTGAATTATATTTGTTCTTTGTAATATTTCCTTTAATTTCATAATTTTCAGTGAGTATCTATCTAGTGCTCTCCAGTTGGTCAGAGGAACTTTTATAAACGACTAATTTATGGGTTATGAAGTTAGTTTTTAGAATTCTGTATGCTAATTATTACTTAAATTTCACTGTTTGGTATTACATAAAAAACCAAATAACGCTACCTGCATGAATTGCGCCACAGCAAAGTGGTCTTAAGCTGGTACAGTTACAAGTAGTAGAAAAAAAAGAAATATAATTTATGCACAAATTATGAAGTTGCTTTCTTAAATTATGTGGTAGTGGGAAAGTATCCTACAGATACATTTGTATAGGGAAGGGGAGAGGTGATCTTTCTTTCTTCAGAAATATTTAATGAAAATAATTGAAAGTTCAAATAATTAAATTTCTAGAAGCTGAGATACCTTTAATATGATAGTGGCACTTACTATACAATATCCAGTTACTGTGCCATTTTCATAAATTCTAAGGCCAATATTAAATCTCCATTTATGGCATATTAGTAAGTTGTTTGACTTGGATTTTTGTGTACTCTGTAGCCAAAGTTCTACTGCCTGAGCATAGCAAACAAGGGGCTTTGACAGTGTGTGTGTGTACTTTACCTTGGAGTGCCTGTTTTAAGTAGCTTATTTTTTGTGAATGGCAGGTGAGTTGTGTTTCATTGATTATGTAACCTGATGTTCAGTGATGTTAAAATAATTAATAGTAGAGAGATGTAATGTGATGATATGCGGAGTCTCGTGTGCCTACTGGTCTTAATGCTGCACTTCTGTACCTTTTCTTACTCATGTTGGCACATATAAGTACTGGAAAACCTGTCTTAAGGATTATTTGATGTAGTACTGTGTACCAATGTATATCTAGTTTTGTTTCGAGCTGTTGTTACATTACTGTCCAAACAACATGGGGAAAAGGGGGGGCAAATGTGTTCTTTTCACCCATCTGTTAGGTTAGCCAGTGTTTTGGTTGTGTGGTAAGAAAAATAGCTTCTGCTGGGGGGGGTGGTTGGACATACCAGTATGCTGTAAAAACATACAAAGTCCTTGGTCATAATCCACAAGAAGAGACTTTTCAAAGATTGGTTTGGCAGCTCTTCATTGTGTCTAATTTCGTAAACAAAGATTTCTAGGACAGCTGTCTTTAGCAAGTAAGAAATGTTTATCTTTAGAACTATAAAAGTCATAGTTATCGTACAGTAGTGCCTCTGATGGTGCAGGTCAATCACATCAGCTGAGAGAGCTTACTCAGTTTAGGTGGAAGTTTCATCTGTCTCATACTGGATTCTGCTGCTGCTCTTGCAGAACTAAACTAAACTGCCGCTTCGGAGAATATCAATCTTTTCTTTTTCCTTCCTCATAATGCAATTAGTCATCATACCACAAAATGTGTTTCACAATGTAAATCCAGGTCCAGAAAAACAATGACTGGTTTAATCCTTTTAGTGAGACTAGTAGTAAGGGACTTGTAAGAGGCAGGCTTTACCTGGCCCATGTGATGTTCTGCTGTGGACCTTCTCTCTTTAAGAGCAGTTTTTAAAAGGGCAAGAAGTGTAGAATCTGACTGAACAGTTTATCATTGATTTAGAAAATGACTGTGAAGTTTTCTCCAGAGTTTTGAGAGGAAAATTTTGATTTTTGCATTCAAGATCTATACATAACAAAGGTTGAGTGACACTTCTTTTTTTAAATTCAAATCCATGAATGCTTCTGAAAGGATAAGTTCTCTGGGGACATTTTATGAGGTTAAATCTCTTTGTTGACTAGATTATCAGTAAAATACTGGACATGAGTTGCTATTTTTTTTGCATCACAAGATAATCTGTGATTCTTAAGTGCTGCATATTACTGTTCCTGTCTGCAAAATGCAGGCTTCTGTACAATTCTAGATCCACCCACTCTTTTGAAAGCACTCAAGGAGGACATTCACAGATAACAGAAGACAAAGTGACTCATATGAGTAGGCGCTATTAATTTAGTGTATTCTTTCTTTCCCTTAATGGCCAAATCCCCCAATTTCTGCTGAAGTGTTGATTTCCCTTGACAATAAAAACCATGTTCCTCAGGCTGCAGGGTGTTTTGGTAAAGGTACTGTGTGAATACTTTTGGTTTAGGGGTTTTATTTAGGGATATGTTTTTGTGCTACCAAGTGTCTGGGTTTGTAGACTTGGAAATTCTAAGTCAAGCAGTCAGAGGTGTGTCTGCCTGCTGGAGGTGATTTTGTGTCACTTTTTGGGGAGAGATAGGGAGAATATTGGTTTGGATTTTTTGTGGCCGCCTGCTAAGGGCAGTGGGAGTAATGGGCTACATGGAAGCCATAGGTAGAATTCTGAGTCTCAACAGCAAAAAATGCAAAGATAAAATTGTAGCATCCTCTTTCAGTTTATTAAATACCAGTTCCAAATCTCTAGTGCTCTGTGATTTTTTTTTTTTAGTTGAAATGTGTTCTGAAGTTTGTGTGAGGCACATAGTAAACTAATTGGCAAGATCACAGAACTTGTATTCAAGATTGTAGAACAGTGCTCAGAACTTGCTTTTGACAATGACTCTCTCCAAAGCTATTTTAAACTGTCACTTTTTCATATTTTGGTGCTCTGCTTTTTCATGATGATTACTTGGGTGCCAGCTCGCATAAATCAGTGGTTTAAGAATTTGCTCATTCAGGTTGAAAAATTTATAATAAGAGATTAATAAGTCTTTGTAAACCCTGACTACTGGGACACTGAATAATTTGCCACTTAAAGTTAGCAATTTTTATTTCATTTTTTTGGCCTTAGAGGGTTAACACTGTTACATTTATCCTAAACAGTTGCTGATGATCAGGCTTGTGGGCTTTTTGGTGGCTTTGGTTTTGGGTAGGGTTTTTTTTGGAGTTTTTGTTTGTGGGTGTTTGGTTTTTTTCTTAAAAAAATGTTTGTTTGTATTATGATATTAGGACTGAAGCTGCATATGTAGGAGTCAGATAACTCCTCTGTAATGGTACAAACCTATTAAGCAACATTCTCTGGATTTAAGTAAGGTCTGTGCTGTGTTCTGCAGGTTCTACAAGATGTATAAGCATGTTTTCTCTGTCTTGGTATGTTTCTGAGTGAAGAGCTGAGTACTAATGAAAACTACAACATGGGAAGACTTAAAACAACTACCTTTAATAAGATTTAAAGTAGCAATGTCCTGAATATTTGTAGTAACCCAGTAATTATCTTTAAAGATCCCAGAACAGTTCAATACTTCTGCATCAATCTGGCTTTCTTATTAGCTTGATTGTGCTTCCCTGATGAAAAAAAAATTCACAATTACTGTATGTGGTCTGTGCAAACCATGGTTGAGAAACTCCTTTCTCCTCAGTGGTTTAACTTTGTATTTATGTGTATTTGTTGAGGAAAATCGCTTTTTGCATTTTATTTATACTGACATGAAAGTATGCTGTGTCAGCCCAGCCCTGCACTTAAACCTGTCTTCAGGTGCTCATGAATTTATTACACTCTAGTCTTCAGGACTGCTGCTGACTAAAACCATACTGACCAAGACCTTGGTTTAGCAATATACTTGAATTCCTGATTAACTTTAAGCTTGTTAGTGGTGGAATTCAGCTCCAGATTAAGACATCTAAATTTAGGTTCCAGCTGAGGAGCTAGGTGTTGAAGCTTGCTCTGAAGTCAGAAGGTATCTAGGCAATGGAGCCTGGGAAGGGATTCAGTTCACCTCCCCACTGGGTATCTCTCTCAAGGTGGGGTGTATCCATTTAGGCTCACTGAATGTACTGTCTATGTCTCCTTTTCCTGCTGTGGAAGAGAAGTTTGGATAGTTCACACATCTGCAGATAGGTGTTAGTAAAGTGTTTTAATCTGTAGTTGGTTGATTTGCCAGCAGGCCCATTGGCTCAGTGGAACTATTTGCATGCTTGTCACAGTTTAAATGAAACTGGACTGTTTGCTAAAGAGGATGAGTTATGAGATAGACCAAACTCCTCTCTCTCTGCAATTGTAATGTCAAATTAAGGGGGCTTTACTCGAGGAAAATGTGGGAAAAAAAACCAGAAGAAATAACAACCCTTTATTAAAAAGATATATATATGTTGGCAAAAACAGTAACCAGAAACAACAATAACAACAAGAATTCTAAATGAATACCCTCCTGTCCCTTAGCTCAGTCCCAATTGTGGCCTGCAGGGGGCGCTGTGGGAGCGCTGGAAGGTGCAGGGCCTGCAGTCCCCGGTCGTGGTCGGCAGGGGGCGCTGTGGGCTCCGGCAGTCACCCCGCGGGGAGAGGGGCTGGAGGGAGCGGTCCCGGGCCGCGCGGGGAAGCCGAGGAGGAGACGGGGGGGCGGTCCTCGCCTCCGTGGGGACGAGAAGGAAGGCAGGCAGCACACTCTCACGGGAAAACTCACCGCTGTCCCCAAGTGGCAGGGACTCACTGCAGTCTCAGACGATGGCGTCTCAGCAAAGAAACTCCCCCTTCTCTCCCGCGGGCAAGCAAGCTCCCCGTTGAGGCACAGCAGCTCCCGGGAAACAGGGTATCCAGGCAGGCTGAAGCCAGCAGGACCAGAAATCCAGCTGGGCTGGGCAGTGAGATCACTTCTCGGAGACTCCTCCACTGGGCTCTGGATGGGTCCAGCAGGGACAGAAGAAAAACCCTCCTGCTCTCTCTGCACCCCGGGAGACAAGCAACCCCACCTCCCCCTTGCCTCCGACTCCCAACCAGCCCCACCTGGCCCCGGCCCTCCGGCCCACTCAATGTAGCTAAATCGCCCATAAAGCAGGTCGGCCAGTTCTTTTGTAAGGCTAATGCCAGCTCCTTTGTGAAGCTAATCAATTCTTTTTCCCCCCTCAACCTCTGTTTTCTCTTACAGGGAAAGCAGGGGAAGGGAAAATTCCTCTCTCAGACTTATAACCCATAACAATGCTTAAAACTTGTGTTTTGAGAT